TCCCCAGTAAATACTGTGAATAAAAATATGAAAAATAGCACATCGCTGGGGTTCAACGTGCAATTGAATTTAATGGTTGGTGAGGACGTGGTGGATTAATGGGCCACCTTTCGTCGCTAGTTATTTTGAAGATCACGGTGCAAAGCTAATGGGCGCCATTCACCTGAGCGTCTCGTACGGTAATCTCATTGAAGGGGAGCAGGGGGACGGGGGGGTAGGAGGGGTGGTGGGGGGCACCCCCCCCCCCCCGACTTAGCCATGTGGCGGGATAAACGCAGGCGACACCGTTTCTCCCCCCCCCCCCGCCCTTAATCAGGCGCAGCTGTGCATAAATCTCCGTGTTGGAACGGAGCATAAATCATTATGGGTGTCAGCCCACCCCCCCCCCCCCCGTCACATTTCGGCATTCACTCCGCCGAGGAGTGATGAATGTTGCTTTTGGTGTTCAAGGTGCCACCCCGCACAGCGAGGGCGTTGTCGGTCGGCCGCCCGGCTGAGGCGCGACCGGCGCTCGCGAACCACGTAGATTTTAACTCGGAGTGGCGGCGCGTTCGGTTTGAACCGAGCTTTGCCGTTCGCGTGCAATTGCATCTCTCGCACGCTCGCCGACGAGCCGAAGGCAGTGAGCGCCTGCGAACAATTGCCCACGTTCTGCAGTCGTTTCATATGTTAAGATATTTATACAGGCAATTCGTGTTTACGCGTGGGAGGAAACCGGAGCACCTGGCGAAAACCCACTCATGCGAGGGGGCAACGCTTTATCCCGTAGAGAAGGAACAGATGATGTTGGTCCACACTTCAACATGCCGCGTATTCCTGGCGAGCCGGGCTATGTGGCACCTGCTCGACTGCCCACGGGGAAGGGAGTTTGGCAAACATCTGCGTGCAGATCCACTGACCCTCAAAGCTGCTGACTCCAAAGTGCTGGATTGCAGGCTGCCACCACTGCCCAGCTGGCTCGGGGCCTACCGTGATGTATTTAGGCAACCGCTTTGATGGAGATGTTCTTGGAAGGGGGCGAGAAATTAAAAATATTCCAGTGTCGTCATCATTAAGGTGCACCCATCGTTATTAGGAGAGTGTAATGTTCAGCTAACATTTCAGGGGTGTGGCTGACTGAAAATAATTAGGGGTTGGATTTGAGCGATGGCCTCTGCTGGAGAAGAGAAAACGCGAAGTGTGAAAGGAAGCAGCATCGGCGTTTGAGTCTAAGAGGCAGATTTTATCACAACGTGGTGACGAGAAAGGACTGACACTTGGACAGATAGTTTGCGCGTGCATACTCTTTCATTATCGTTCCTGTTCTAAATGTTCGTGTTTTCCCCAGATTTTTACAGGGAATTGATTTTGCGAGACGCAATTGGTTTTACGTGTGACGGGATTAAAACTTTGTTTGATAACTTCGTGCTTTTTTTTTTACTCAAATCACGTGATAGTTTCAGCTTTTAAGCAAAATCCATTTTGAAATTGAATATATTTCGCCTGCGATACCTCGCAACGCAAAAAAAAACGACGCGCGCGCTGCTAATCTAGACCCGGTGGAAATTTTATGCTTTTTAAATACACGTATATAAATGTTTGTATTAATATTTCCTCGAGTCAGTGAGGGACAAGATTGCGTATTGACTGAGCGTGCACATTCCACGTAATTGCAATCGCCTATTGAATTCCCACACTTGAAGATGCAATGAAGACGTCACCTCCGCAGCAACAACAACACGATACGGCCGTGCCTGCCTCAAGATTATTATTTCGGCGTTGCACCAATCAATAGTCTGTTGCGTTCGCTTGGCAAAGTCTTCCTCCAGCGGCGTGCCAAAGTGAAGGGAAATTAAAACGCCCGCTCGAAACGGCGGCGGTGTCGATCCAACGGCAAACGTCGCCAAGATCCCCGCGAGCGGACCATTGTCTGCCCCCCCACCACCCCACCACTCAGTGCTCCGTGCCCAGCACGGGGAAGACGGCTTTTAAGTTTCGGTGAGGCATGACGGTATTATGATCACGCTTCGCGCGAGCTGGTGAGCTCCGGGGCGGGCGCGCGTGCGTGCCCACGATAGTCCGGTCCCACGAGCAGCTTTCTGAAGGTGCGTTCCCGCGCGCGCCTCGTTGGCCACCCGCGGGGAATTGCACCACTGACCTGCTGTCGTGCCGAACCGAGAGCCGTGACTATCACGGCGGCCCAGTCTTGCGCACAACGTCTCTACCCTCTTGCAACTGTCTTGTGGCGCGCGGATCTCGGGTTTGCTCCGACGCCTGCTTCCCAGCGTGTGATTCTCAGATATCCCCCTAGGTCTTGTCCGCTTTGCCGTTGGTTTTCCTTGCAGCGGGCTTTTTGACTTATTTTGCTTCAATGTCTGCGCTCCCCACGTTCGTCGACCCACACTGAGCAACGTGGCGAGCGGTGAAGTCAATTAGCACAGACGGCCTGGATGGTGTCGGGTGACCTTCACCCAGCAGTGGATGTACAAAAGGGAAGTGTTACTATTTGTTTAGCCCATGCTGGAACGGATCATTATGAATAACCACTGCACATTTCAATTTCAGGAGAGACTGAGAAGGTACCAGGCAGGCATCGTCAATCAGTCAGTTTATTCTATTTTAGTTCCAGGCTTGGAAAAAGGAATGGGAAAATTAAAATCCAGCCGTGAAATTTGCTCGATTGATATATCACTCTTTGGGGGGGTGATGGCCCATGGACGAGACTGGTGACGGAGTGATAGCCGAAGGAGAGAAGGCATCTGGAAGGAAAACCACTCCGGAGATGGAGCGATTATCTCGTTGCATGCGCAGGACTAAGATGGATCGCAGCGTTATTGGATTGTGAGGGATGCCAAAGGCGTTGGGATGCCATCATCCAGCACTGGATTGACAATGACTATTAATTAGAAGAACATTTTTTGTTACCAGAATAAATATGTATTCACATATGCATACATGTCCATGTTGTTACGGATGGGTGTTCTTTGGAATTGCTTTGAGTTTCAATACGAAAATAATGCACACACACGTTAATTATTTTATGCATATTTGGGTTTATTTCTGACTCAGATCGCAATTTTACATGCTGCTTGTTGTGCTGAAAGTGGGACATTTTATATATCTAATATTATTTAAAACTTTCTTATTTGTTTATTGACGAATTGTCATGAATGGCTCATTAATTATTTCTGTGAATGGAGTCTCTCCTGTGGGACAGAGAAGGTGGATCGATTCCCGTGCTCCTAATGTTGCACTCCCTGCTAAATCTGGATATTCGTTAAGAGCCCATTCCGTACATTTCCTTGCGTTTTCATGGTCTTATTTCACTTTCAAAGACACAATCGAATGGATCCTGCCATAATTTCACTAACAATTTTAATAAAGATTCTGGCTAACTTTACTCTTTTTTTACTGAATGGCTGTAAGTTCATAAGACGAAATAATCTGTAGCGTGAAATTAGAGAATTTAAGTAATGCAATAAATAAGCGGATTAGACTCATCCTTTATATATCTCTCCGCCCATGTAAAAACTAAATTGATCATGACTTTCTTTTCTTTCCGAACGTTGCTGGGAGTTTTAACCAAGTTGGCTTTTGGTGACTTTCAGGTCAGACTACTTGCGCTGGTAGCTCAGGGATGGTGGGTTTGAAACGTGAATTTCAGCCGCCAATGATTTATTTCAGTTTCCAAGCAGAGTAATTTGATGTTTATTCAAAGAATGGACGACATGTTTGACTGCTTTAGTCAACTAGACGGAGAAAACAATAACTGTATTAAAGCCACGGACTCTTAAGACTTGATTAAAATTCCACAGGTTGTCGTCAACGAGTGTAAGAAGAAGACATTATGCTTAGGGTGGCTTACAAGGCAGAGAGCTTAGCCTGGACAGCTAAGCACCTGGGTTTCAATCCAGGCAACGACCTGTGGTTAAGTCACGTGGCGAATTGATGGCCTCAGCCCGATCACCAATGACTGCAAACAAAAAAACAACATCACTCTATATTTCTTTTCTATGCTCAATTGGGGCCATATTGCAGCTCTGCGAAAGAATATTTTTTTTTTAAATCATGTTTGACTGTTACGTGATGAACATTGACCTCTTATGCAGAGCGCGTGGGAAAGCACTGCCCTCTTCTGTGAGGACCAGAGGCTACTTGGTGGTATCTCAGAGGTGTAGATTCCGTGGACCAGAGCAGAAATTGTTACCACTCAAGGTAACAAAATGTAGTCGGACCAATTGATTGATAATTGCTAATACGAGTGAATAAAATCTTGGTTTGAAGCTTTCGTGACTGCAGGAATCCATACTCTTTGGTTCTTTCGGTAAAGTCACGTAGGTAGAAAAATAAAACAACAAAAAATCACATATCACGACGTTTCGATCGCAACACAAGCGGTCGTCCTCACGAGTGAATTACTTGATAACCCACCCGTTTAAAATGGTTATCACGTAATTCACTGTTTTTGGCGACATCGAGAAATTGGAACCGGTAATGTTATGATGCTACCTCAGGTGGAAGTGACAAGTGAAATATCTGATCTGGGCCCATGGACGATAAGTGAGTAGTTCTCTTACTCTTAGTTCTTTCGGTAAAGTCACGTAGGTAAAAAATGAAATTAAAATTAATACAAATAAAATAAAATCTGGCTGTGACGGTCCCACCTGATGACGGAGACTTGTGTTGCCTCCGAAACGTCGTGATTTTTATTTTATTTTCATTAATTTTAATTTCATTTTTTACCTACGTGACTTTACCGAAAGAAATAAGAGTATGAATCCTTGCAGTCACGAAAGCTTCAAATCTAGAATGAGTAGCTCTCTGATATCTGCAACGCGGTCGGTTAGCACCGCTCCGCGAGAGGTCCGACGGCTACTTCATCTGACGGCACAACAACAACAACAAAAAAATCGCGATGTATTCCGTGTAAAAACTACGATGAAAAAAAAAATCTTCCTTAGACGAACGCCGTTAACGAATCGCACGACCCGCCCTCCGCCCGTGTCCGCCGTGCGTTCCAGGGCGGTCTCATCGCGCTGCTGCTGCTGCTCCTGCTGCTCACGCTCGCCCTGTACACGCGCCGCGGCGGCGGCGGCGGCTCCTCGGGATGCTGCCGTGCCCAGCGCCACCGCCCGCCGATGCCGCCGCAGAAGAGCGCAAGCGCCGAGGCGGGCGACGAGATCCACTACATCCCGTCCGTGCTGCTGGGCGCCCACGGTCTCGACTCGCGCCGCTCCAACGCCCGCCTCCTGCAGGACTCGCACGCCGACGGTGATCGTCTGTCTCGTTTGACATGTTTCTTTTCGTTGCTCTTTACCGACGCATTTGCTGAGCTCAGGCCCAAATGGGGAAAGGAAAACAAAAGTCACGTGGCGAGGATGCATGCCGAACTTCTTTCGCACCGTATGTAGCCGACCGTGCTAATCGGAGGTGCATTAATAAACAGGCAGTGGCAGGTTCAAAGGTCGGTGGGGAAAGGGATGTGGTGGGATCGATCGTCTTCCCCCCCACCAACTCCAGCCCGGCCACGCCACGCGCCCCCCCACAATACAAAATTCGTATTGTATCGATGTTCACCAGGTGTGCAGAAGTTCGTTTTGTTTAAACGGGTGAGAACTCTGGCGACCACGAGCATCGGTCTCACTTGCAGGAGAGGCCCCGGGAATATGTTTTTTTTTATTATCTCAGTACAGCACCTTCTGACCTCTGGCTGAAAGGCATTTTCGAAGTGTAAATCATTATTACGAATGATTAGTCTGCCTTTAGGGGGTGATGATTGCTACGTGTAATCCCAATTGAGTAATTTGCAGTGTAATTGAACAATTTGGCAAATTTGAACCTTGACGTCAGCACGCGATGGCCTCCTCTTGCGAGGGATCTTTGTCGTCCACTGTGACACAGACGGTGCGTGTTGCTGTGGTTTATACGCGCAGTCATAATGGGGGCGGCCTGCTGGAGTCGAACCGGGAACGTCAATTGAGCAAGGTTCTGAGATCTCTGGGAAAAGAGACGATGGGAGGGAATTCCAAAGTGGAGCAGTGCAAGGTCGGAGGCAAGAAGAGAAGTGGTATAATAGAGTCTCAACATGGCTGGAGGAATCAATGATATCATGATGATGCCAATGATACTGATGGTGATGATGGGGAGTGGTAGTATAGCGGTTTGACGCTGCGCTACGAACCCGGCCACCCGGGTTCAATTCCCACTCACGGCCAACACCAGTGCCTCCCCTAGGTCGCCTTAGCCTCAAATGAGTACCTGGTGCAGTGTGTAAACTTCGCCAATGGGGAGACAAAGGCGGTCGGGCGTGATGCTGTCCACCGACCCACCTGTGTAACAATCCGGCCTTAATGGGGTGCTCGCTAAAAGCACTTGCCCCAAAAGTCTGTTAAAGGCAATACGGTTAATGTTTGTATTTTTTTGGTGGTGGTGATGATTATGATGGTGCAAATGATGATGGCTCTTCACGGATATCCTGTACAGTTCTCCGATATGTCGGGTTATTTCACTGTGTGTTGTACAGTGTCTGACATCCCCCCCGCCCCCCCCCCCCCCCCCACGTTCTGGGAGCTTCTTCCGGAACTGATATGAGCAGCTCGATTTCATCTCCCGATAATATAGCGCTCATAGCAGCAAGTGGAGCGAAACGTCGGACAACGTGCCGAGCAGCCCACAGTATAACCCGGAAACACATGGGGGGGCAGAGCCCTTAAAAGCTACAAGGCGAAGGCTAATCCCGTTGTGTATTTTGCATCAGTTACCAATGTAGGTTGTGTCTCTTCTGCCATCGGCAGTTCCAGAAAGAAAATGCATTCGTCTCCCGGCTTGGATGCACAACGCCACGATCGCCATACCATGCCAAATTTCGAAAAGTCAAAACAAATGGTTTTTAATTCGAGCTTTAACGAAACGTAAACAAAAAACTTTCCCGTGAGATTAGAGGGTTCTCCGCTCTGATAACAGAAAGGTACGACGCGCGTGCGATGAGCGACTTAGTGGCTCCTATTTAATATTGCCACGAGCAATATCATATTTTGCTCTTGCTGCTGCTGCTGCCGCTGCTACAAAGTGCTCTGATACAATTCAGGGGAAATGATAAAGATATTGATCCACCTGCGGGTCGTGACAGCAGGGTTATAAGACCGCTGCGCGAAAGTAATAAACACGGCAAACAACGCATACCCCACACCGCGTACGATCACAAACTTTACCCGCGCGTTCTTCAGCAGCGCTTCAGCCATTGACCCAAACGCCACGGGGCAATTTGTTATTTGACACGTCAATATTCTGTTAGAATATGTAATATCATCTTTAATCCAGGACAGAGGTTATTTCCCTTGGGATTTCACCGAACCGGCGTTTTAAACGCGTTGCTTCCCCGGGACGGAGGCTGAGTCTAATCCGTGTCCCCAAAACCCGTTCGCCACGACGGTCGAACTTTCACACGAGCTGCATTCACGGGGGCCAGCCTCAAACAGTTTTGTTGGCTCGCAGCTGCGATTGGAGAAACACTCGACACTTTACCGCGCTGGTCAATGTGGATCAGCGAAGGCGGGGAGCGTTACAGGGCAAACACCAAAGTGCAGTGCACGGTGCGACGGTGGATATTGATGAAGTCCTCTGCTGACCACCGTCACATCCCTGCCTCAGATAAAATACAGAACAGGCAAAGATGATAAGATTTTTTTAAAATATCCCTTCAGATGCGTATCGGTGTACAGCGTGATGACGCGGCCTAGCGGAGGCTCGGTTTTCTAATCGACTGTTAGAGAGGTTCACCGTTCAGATTCAAACGGCCTCCCTGGTTAATGCTGCGATTGCAAAAACGTTGCGGGGACCCTCCTGAGCAATGAGACTCGGTGAGGCTTTCCTGGATAATAATATTAATAAAAAATGCATGCATTTCGGCATTTTCACCTCACCATTCATTCACTTTCCGAAGATCCGCAGTATGGGTTGTATAACGTGACAGATGATTTTTCTCGGCTAGAGGAAGTTGTTTGTTTGACGACGTCGACGGCAAAACTATGGATAACAGCGCCGAACACATTCCCTCGTAAATAACTTTCATATTTACCCCTCCCCCCCCCACCACCACCACACCCCCCATGTCCCCTCCCCGTCGCAGCGGACGGGACACCGGTGCGCGAGACGCCGATCCTGGACGACTTTGACTTCGAGAACGGCGTGGGCGTGAGCGGCACGGTGCAGCGCATGAACCACCGGGGCGGCGGTGGCGGCGACGAGGATTACGGGAGTCAGGTGACGCGCACGCTCGAGAGCCTGGGCCGCGTCGACGAGGACTGCCACGGGCACTGCGACGTGAGCCCAGGTGCGTCTGCCACGCTTCGGCCAAACGCTCTCTCTCTCCCACCCACAGCTCCCTTGACCCCACACCTACCAGACATATCCCCCCTTTCCCCTCCTCCCCCCCCGGCACCTCTGATTGGCACGGTTGGCGATGTACGGTGCGGGAGACATTCAACGTACGCGCGTACGTCTGTGAAAAAGAGCTCTGTAGCTCATCGGATCTTCTGCACGATAAGTGAACGATTCTGATGCGGTGGTTCGGCTCCTCTTCGGCCGGCGGATTTTGTAGCGTCGGTGCGGGCGGCGGCTGAAAAGTCCGCCTCGCGATTTTCCACGCGAAGCGGGGTGCGTGCAACAGCCGGCTTGCGTTCACGCGTGCACCGCCTTGGCTGTCCTGTTCCTGTTCTTGACAACACGCCGTAAGTGTTTTTTGACGTCGTACAAAGGTACAGCCATGCGAGCGTCGGATCTGTAAAGTGTTTCTCGTTGTGCACGTCGTTGTGTGTTTGCTTCCTGTGCGGGAGATTTCCGCGCGGACGTTCTGTCCCCGTGATTTGATGGCCATAGAGCAATCGGAATGAAACTGGTAATACAAAAAAGAAAACGGAAATATTTCGCGCGAACAAAACTTGCGTTTGTTGGTCACTCTGTGCATTGGTGCCGGAAACATAAAAATGTACCACACATTTGTTCGATAGTGCCTTTCTAACCCTCTTTCACACACATGCTCCGATGTTCCCTTGCACCTTGCATCTCGCGAAATTCGTACACGTGGCCATCTATTCACTTGCACGTGCGCGGGCGTCCGTATGAGACGTCGGCAATGCGGCGTGGATTTTTTTTGTTATCGAGGCCATCTAATTTTGTTGCCGCCAGCAAATCTGCGGGAGATCCGGGTCCACGCAGCGGCGAGTGATTGTCCGGCGGAGTTGGTGCCGCTATTGCTCGCAGTAGCAGCCAGGGGTTCTCCTTTTTTTGGGGGGGGGTTTTGGCGAGCCTGCGAAATCGATAGTGTATTTCACCAGCGTCAGGTTGGCAAGAGACGTGACAGCAATGCTCGCGGAGCGTTAACGGGACGAGCCACGTTAACGCCGCGGCGAGGAGGCGAGGCAACCCCCCCCAGGGTCGCTGTGCGTCCACACACAACGCGGATCGATGCCGTCTCGCTCACCTCGCTGTCCGGCCCACGTGGGGTCACCCCCCCACTCTTGCTCCCCCCCACCCCTGCACCACCCCGCCCCCCCCCCCCACGATCGCGGCTCCCTTGAACGGTTCCTTCTTACTTTTTTTAGGCGGCCGCGCAATAAATATCTGAAACGGCATCATGGGGCAATCAACAGACGCACACTCGCGAAATAGATTAAAATCAATCCAGCGGCATCTGGCGGGGTGAGGGCGGTTCGTGGTTATACTCTGCCGAACTCGGTGCTCGACGCTTGGCCGGTTGGGAGATGGTTATCTGGAACGTTGCGGGTCCAGCTCTCCCGAAGCTTTTGTTTTGCTATTTATTAAATATTTTTCTTCTTCTTACCACCGCCGCCCGCCCGCCCCCCGCTGTGTCTTGGCAAGCAAGGGAAGCTCGCAATTCCCTCTTGTCGGGAGCGGTTTGTCAGAAGCTATTACTACGGCAGGGTGCTGCGGTCGCCGTGCATGGGAGCTCACCACGATTCCTCCCCGCCCACACATTTCGGCATTGGTTAAAGCGGCGCGCGCAAATTTATTCGCCCCTGCTCCCCCCTGCTCCCCCCTGGTCCCCCCTGGTTCCCCCTGGTTCCCCCCCTCCCTCCCCCACTGCCCCCCCCACATGACAGCCACCTGATTTCCTTTCACAAAAACCCCTCACGCCTTTAATGCAAGACTTAATTTATCAAACGAGCCACACTGGAGAGGGAGAAATGAAATTGCTCGTATGAATGATCTCTCACTGCTGCTCGTGAATTGTTAAACACGCCACGCGATGCCGCCTGCCCTACCAAATTCTAAATTGACTCAACCTGTGCTCTGTAGAATTGGCGTGGAGATTCTGAATTATTATCATTTTTATTCCCTTCCCAAATCCAAATAGCCGCTCTAATTTTAATAAATGGGAGCGTTTTAAACGCGTGCCGTTTTCCCAGGCGCTAATGTGCTCTCGCTGTTTACCGCCCTTTGTCAAAACCACTGCTGGATCATGGTCTCTGCATCCCCGTGTCCGTCTAAGGGGGGTTGTTTGACCCCGTTCCACAACGCTGATCACCGTACGTTGATGAAGTCAGGGAGGCCAAGGACTGGTTCGGATATCGCTCGCCACCGATGTTAGCCGTGGCCAGGAATCTAACTCAGGTCACTGAGTTCATAGCTTAGTGTTCTAACGGCTGTGTTCTAACCACTACTCCCCCTCATCGTTTTGACAGCAATAGTTTACAACTATTACCGATCCACTCGTGGATGAAGGCCTCCCAACTCCGTCAGTCGTGATGATTGACTATACTTCACCAAAACTGGTCAGTGGAGGTTGGTGAAGTAGAAGGGGGCCCTCGAACCGGCTCAGACATCGGTGACCACCGACGTTAATCATGACCGGGAATCAAACTCAGATTTGCCACGTTCATAGCACGGTGCACGAGCCGCTGCTGAATTGTTAATGTTTGCTTTTAGAGCAGATGGAGCATTTTTTGCAATGGACTTTATTGCTGAGCATGTAAAGTGAATGATGGTGGGTGCACTAACTGCTCGACTGAGTGAGAAAGCAATAACTCCTAATAAAATATATATATATAAAAAAGGAAATGACAGTATTCATATACAGAATATATACTTGCAATCCAAAGGTCGCCAGTTCATTTTCCCTGCACGGCATGTCCATCCACGTTCGATTGGCAGGTCGCGTTTTTGTGTGGTCAGGTGTGGGTACTTCCACTCCTTACACGACGTCTGTCCAGCATGGAAGAGTAGGCCAAATACCCCCTCGACGGTCTCTCTCGTGCTGCCTCCAGCGATGTCCCTTCCGGCAGCAGAGGCGTGAGTGAAGCACTTGCAGGGCTGTAACTTCATATGTGTATAGTACTCTGTATGCGTATAAATCCCTACCACAAGAATGAGTACATAGGGCTGCCATCTGGGCATGTTTGCAAATCGCAATCGAGGTAAAGAATTGGGGTGTATTTTTTATTTTATTTATTTTATGGTTGCATTTTCTCTTTCAATGCTAAACTGCATTTATTTCTCTTTTTTTTTTACAAATCATTATTCTGCACCGCTTTATTCACTCAATAAACCGCTCCATTCCTCGTTTTTTGTGTGTGTGTGTGTGTGGAAGAACAAATATTTACTTTAAAGCAGAACGGTCTGCTGCCTTGGCCGAGCGGAGAGAGTTTGTTAAGCGATTCATTATTCCATTAAGGATTCATGCGCAACTGTCGGAAGCAGGCGAGTGTTACGACTGTAGCATTTTAAGCCCCTGCAATGCTCTTTAGAGCTCATCCCTTCTGAAATATAAACACAACCGGTCGCTGTTTTAATCAAAAATTGGAGAGAAAAAAATCCAAGAAATACAACCGTGACGAGCAAATGATGTCCAGAAAAAAAAAATGGAAGTGCCACTGCACATGGTTTATGGATGCCAATATCAGTTTTATTGTCCCGTTTATGAGAAAGCTACCTCTTAGACGGTCTTGTCTTATGGCCATTTTTATGTCTCGGCGTTTCTCTCTTAACTTCCTTTAGCCTGTGTCGCAGCACGCTCACCCATCAATACATAAACTCTTCTACACTCTCTCTCTCTCTCACACACATAATGGCACAATAGCCGGTGAGACGGGCCGTGAAATTCCCAGCATGCACGGTGCGTGGTGCACCTCCCCCCCCCCCGGTAAAACAAAAACGCGTTCGCCGGTCGTCGTGGAAATTAAGCGATGATAAAAATCACGATGGGCGCACGCGTCGTTTTTATCCATCGTTAAATCCACCGCAGGCAATGGGAGCAGCTTCGGCCCAGGCCTGGCCCGGCTCGTGGTGTTTTCTCTCCGTTGTGTGCAACGGGGGGAGAGGGGGGGGGGCAGACCTTTCCACTCAAGGTCACGCCAAGGGTGACCTACTCTCTCTCTTACTGCCCCAAATAAATACTAAATAAATGTGCATGGCTATACGGAGATAACTCCCTCAGCACCACCGTCCACAGAGTCTCTGTCTTTTATTTTCTGCTTCTCCTTGGAATATTTATTCCCAGTTGTCAAGGTTATTTTTTTTTTATACTTAATACTCCGTTTGTATCATTTTCTTTCTCTCTGTACTTCATTGCACTTTGTTTTGCCTCTGCAGTGAGGGTGTTAGAGCCTTGCCCTGATGTTGCGGCGTTGTTGCCAGTTGCAGTATAAACCATCGCAAGTGATATTTCCGCTTCGTTTGCAATGTCGATCCGAGTGGAGTAAAGATATAATTTCACTTGAGGGATTTCAAGCAGCTGGCTCACTGAGCTTTCACCGAGATGCGTCTCTCCATCCTCGCAGTCTTCCGACGAAGGCACAACGGCGGTGAAACTCCTCGGATCTGCGGTACCTTTTACCCACCAACTGCAAATATAATTTTCTGGATGAAAAAAAATCCGCGCAACATGCCCCGGTTCAGACGTTGGCATCGGCCGTACAAGCTTCTCCGAGCAGGAACACGCCAACCATGTGGAGTTCGAGGAAACATCCCAGGAAGTCGCGCTTGGTGCCTTGATAGACCCCTCTACATTTAGACAGGACAGACGTAGTGACAGCCCCACACTGCGGTTAGTTTGGCCCCGAAAAGGAACTTTGGTTTTGCAATCCCGATCAGGAGGCTCCTTCTTTCGGGCGTTTGACAGCCGGGTTTGTTGACATTAGTTTGTGATAAGCATGTAACAGTGGAAACAATTCGCCGCTGATGTTGGCCCCAGCCGGGGAATCAAGCGCAGATGAAGTCTCAACTTCTCACGTTCATCATCTTGCACCAGGTGAGCACTCAAGAGTCCAGGGACAGTCTCATTTACAAGAGTGGCCTGGGGCATTAGTCTGCCAGTAGGGAGGTCGGGGCGATGATTGCTATGTTTCATCCCAATTGAGCAATTTGTGGTGTAACTCCCCACCTTGGCAACCTTGGACCCTGACGCCAGCACACGATGGCCTACTCGCGCGAATGACGTCAAGGGACCTTTAGCGTCCGCTGCGAGTAAAGCAAACAGTGCATAGTCGTATTATTCCTACTACGGTAATTACACATTGCAGTATGAATCAGGCCCGGCGGCTGGACTAGAAGCGTTCTCCTAATTTTCAAGCTTGCGTACTTTACCACGCGTCGTCTTACTCATTGACATGCTAATTTTTTTTCTCTAACCCCTCCCTCTCTCCGCCCCCGCCCCCTCTCTCTATTTAAGGCCTCGTCACAGAGACGATCTCTCTCTGTGTGCCTATGTGTTGCTCTCTCTCTATGTATCTTGGTGATATCTGTCTGCTCATATGTCTGTCTATAGTTTTCTGTTCAGATTTTTGTTGCTATTTCATTTATACCTGATGATGATTGCTTGTGTTGCAATCGAAACGTCGTATACTATTATTTAATTTATTATTTTATCTTTATACGTGACTTTACCGAAAGAACCAAAGAGTAATTCCTGCAGTCACGAAAGCTCCAAATTAAGATTGAAACGTGAGCCTCAGTTGCTTGCGGTCGAAAGCACTGCGGCTCGGCCTTGCCATCACGCACGACGCAGGGTTAATTGTACAGTGTGCTGTCCGCAGTACCACCGCTGCACCCCATGTATGTCCCGTTCGTGACCATGTAAGTGTTCGTAATGCGTACAGAGTCTGACTCACAGTGCACCAGTTTTGTTGCTTGAATGCAACTGTCGGAAAGCGATGATTTTTTGACGGCATTTTTGCCAAACTTTTTCCTGTGTAGAGTTTGACCTGCTATACATTTAAAAACAAAAAGCGGAACTTATTGAAAAAAAAACGCTCCGTCTCCCCCATGACAATTTTCGTTCTGCTAAGATTGTGAAACAGCAGCTGCTGTTCAATTTATTATACATCCATTGTGTAAACTTACACGCAATCAAAATTCCACGGTGGTCTCGTTTGCAGCCTGCACTGAGTTCCAGAATCTTCTTCCTTGGTTTCAATGTTTTCAGGACTCACAGACAGGTTTCCCTGTTTAAAAAAAAAATTAACCCATCGGCTGTAAACCTTCAAGCACTGGCTTCAGGTGACTTGCGGAGCACAGGTCATAGGTCGCATAACGCCAAGGGCCCAGCAATCAACAGCGAATGAATAATAGTTAATGCAGATTTGAAGTTTTTGTGACTGCAGGGATCCATCGGTAAAGTCACGTAGGTATAAAATATAAAATAAATTAAATCACGACGTTTCGGGCGCAACACAAGCGTCTGTCATCAGGTGGGACAACCACAGCAAGAAACACTGCAGCAGTGTAACGAAAGAACCAAAGAACCAAAGAGTATGAATAGTTAATGCGTTTCTTAAATTGAGCGAGGTCATTATAAGATGTTGGGGAAAAGAGAAACGTTGTGAGGGACTTCCAAACGTCGAAGAGTGCGAGGGAAGAATCAGAAAGAGAAGTGTTTTGACCTGCGGTGTGGTGGTTCAAGAGTGTATGGCTGGGGATAAACACACTGATAATGGCCAATACGAGTTATCTTGCATCTGATATCGTGGTGGTGTCCCAGTGGCAAGATGTTAACTACCTCGCCTGGTATTCAGGATGGTCGTGGGTTCAATCCCGACCCTGGCGTCTATATATTTGGAGTTTGAGTGTTCTCCCCGTGGTCACGTGGATTTTTCTCCAGGTCCTCTGGTTTTTCCCTCCACATTTAGAATCGACATCAGGCGTTTAGAGTATTTGGCTGCTGCTATACATGTCGACATGATGACAAGCAACTTCATTGAGCTATCATTTGTGTCCAGGTTGCTTCGGACAAAAAAAATATATATATAGCTCAGTGGGTCTTACGTGGTAAAACAAGATGCATTTGTTGAGTATAAATAGTTTATAGAGTCCTCAAACATTGGTGGAACAATCTATGAGTGATAATAGCGATAGAAGAGTGATATGGAGGTGACTGAATGCCAGTGAGCGAGTGGCTGTGGCTGTGGAGTGAAGTGCCTAGTGCTGGATCATCAATCGCCCCGACTGTTTTACATTTAATTCTGTCTGGTGCAGTGAAGGTTGGAACTGGGCACTCTACTTGCCATATACGACATCAGCAGGATTCCAACTTTGGCTGAACTTGAGCTGTGTATGGTCGTCCTAATTATTCATGGTGGAAGATGGAGTTGTCGCGCTAAAAATTAAGTCGAGTTTCTTAAATGTCTCCTGCAGGTTCGTAGCATAGCCATTCCATGATGGCATTGACGCTGTCTTTGGTACCATATATCAACCACGGACGGCATTGTGCATAGGATGGTTACTGTGTAGTGTGTACCCATGGAGGATTCATCGTTGTACGAGTTTTGGCTGTCGAGTTAAAAGCTGAATGTTGGGCAAGCTTCTCTGAGTAAATCAATAGCAGCGTGCTGGCTAACGATGGCGATTTCAAAACCATTGCAATTCAGCCATCGATAAATAGGTGTCTCTCGTGAGCAGTCACTTACAGACAACCACTCCGTTTGCTCACTCTCCAGGGGAGGTAAAGAAATCGTCGATTTGTTGTTGTGTAGTTGAAATCACTCCGCTGCCTTTGCTTTGGCAAGCTGTAAAATGGCAAACGAGCATCTGAATAAACCGATAGTGCTACCGTGATTGACCCGGTTACATGGGACTTCCTTGCCAAGCTTCGACAACTACGTTAGCGACACATGCATCCTCGAATGTGTCTTTGCTCTTCTTCCCAGTTGTATTCCTCTTGATCGTTTAGCAGAAGGGATGGAACGATGAAATCGGCTCGTTCGCAGGAGTTAGATGTTGCCGGTGTATTGCAAGACCGCGAGAGGTGGCGACGGCTTGTGGAGGCCTTCATCCAGCAGTTGCTAAATCACGGCTGACGACGACGACGACGATGCTTATGCCATTGGGGGAGGCGGTCGGGACGGGGACTTCCTCGGCAGGAGTTTAACGACCCTCTTCATCAACCCCACCCCACCCCCCGCCGCTCTCGCCCCACCGTCCATCAGGCCGGGACGAGACGGTAGAGTCGCTGGTGATGAAGTTCAAGGAGAGCTTCCGCGCCAACGCCCCAGTGGAGCTCAACCGGCTGCAGCAGATGCCTACGCCGTGCGGCTCCGACAACCGGCGCAAGCGGCGGCGCCGCAGCCGCAGTCGAGGTGAGAAGCCGAGGGCGGCGGCGGCGGCGACGCCGGGCAAGCACATGGGGCCAACTGAGAGGCCACTAAGCAAAGGTCTACTAGCATCACAAGTGGCTCACGAGGCCCGAGGCTTCACGTTTACTTCGTGCCTAAGCCAACACGTATGTACGTACGTACGTGTGTTGAACTTATTTCGCACCGTACGTAGCCAACCGTGCTAAACGGAGGTGCTTGGGAAGGACCACCAACCCAATCACGAAAATAATTCCTATGGAAATGAGTTTTCAAAAGCAGGTGACACAACAGGTGTTTCCCCGTCGATGGCCGATGCACCAATCTTTGCCGTGTAACAGCTCAGCACCTCGTAACAACTCGCGTAGATTCAAGTTTGGCCGGTGATGCGGCTTTGCCAGAATTTCCGTGCAGATGTAGCAAGCATTTCCTACACAAGGGGGCCTGGATTCATGAAATTGTAGTAATAATAATAGGGATCGTTTACAATATCACCTCAAATTGAGAGAGTAATAAATGTCGCACAAATGTTTTTTCAAAAACTCAACATGTTTGATAATTGTTTTTTTACCCTTCTATCTGGCAACAAAACTGACACCTTTTAGACCACAATACCTGCAGCCATAATGCAAAAAAAAAACACAACTCTGATAATATATGCACTGCCCTTGAAGTTGATTGGTCCACACCCGAGACAGGAAAGCTGTACTGAGTTATGTTTGTTGTTATGTTTTTGTTTGCATTATGGCTGCAGGTATTGTGGTCTATGCAAACATGACTCCTTGTAAAAAAGGTGTCAGTTTTGTTGCCAGATAGAAGGGTAAAAAAACAATCGTCATATTTTTTACTGGCAAATGAGGTTCCAATGGTGACTCAACATGTTCGTTGATAATATTGCCCCAAAGAGGAAAAATACATGCAGGAGTACTTTTATCCGTGGCCCTATTACCCACAACTCTGTTATCCGTGGCAGCTGTAGGATCCATGAAGACTCCAAATTATCCACTTCCTTATTTCTTCATATTATCCATGGTGATCCACAATGTTACCCATAATGCATTGCAACGCGTCTTCCTAACGTACAGAGTTTTTTGGGCATAATAGGAGATGCATGGCAAGTGACTCCTATTACCGACAGGGTTGCCTACAAATCTTTCCCAGTGAATGAGAGGAGTAAAATTGCCGATAACCCCGCGAATAACATGATCCCCCAAAGAGCTCACCCACAACACCGCAGATGAGAGAGTAGTTGTGTCATAGGTGACGTTTCAGGCAATGGTCCATCTCTGCAGCAAAGAAACATTTTCCACTTTCGGGCAGTGTTATTGACGAAAGTGTTGCCTTTTTTTTATTGTGATCTGGCACTACTGCCAATGCAGCATACATTAATTTTGGTCTAATGAACGTAAAAAAAAATCCATTAAAGCGAACAAGCGAATTCATCTCTCATCTCTAGCTTGTCGGGAACTCTCTTCTCATCATCTCACGACATCTGTCTGGCGTGCCACATCTCTCACGACACGACATCTCCGTCTCATCTGTATTCTCTCCTCTCATTATTCCACCACTACTTTTTGTCCACATTCGTTCATCTCGGCTTGTCTATATCTCTTCCGCCATTGTTATAGGAGCTTCATTTTTTATTGAAAAGGTGTCGGGGGTGGGGGGGGTTGGCGGGGTAGGGGACCAAAAATAACTTCTGCTTATGGCCCTCAATGGGCCAGCAGCCACACTGTTTGCCAAAGTGACGGAGCGCTGCGGTGCGGTGCAAATATTATTAACAAGTGCTAGAGGATCAATTAACACACTGGACCTCTCAGTGTAGTGTAATGGATGTAACACACACACGCACACTGAGGCTCACAAATCTATGCCGCAAAATCCCTTCTCTCCCGGCGGGATTTGCTCAGCGAGCGGTGCACAGCAATACTTTCCCACACATTTAAAAGATCGAATGGAACTAATGGAAATTACAATAATGCCGCTTTTGTGGCGAGGTGGCCACGTGGCCAGGCGGTAGTGCGCTTGCCGCTTGTTGAAGATGTCGTAGGTGGGCGCAGCGGTGGCGGGATGTTAACAACCTCGCCTGGCATACAGGAGGTCGTGGGTTCGATCCTGACCCTGATGCTTGTATATATGGAGTTTGCATGTTCTCCCCGTGGTCCCGTGGATTTTTCTCCAGGGGGTGCTCTGGTTTTTCCCTCCACATTTAGAATCAACGTGCATTTAGAGTATTTGGGTGATATACATTTCAACATAAAGTCACTTCGTTGAGCTATCATCTTTGGCCAGGTCGCTTTTGAAAAAACAGCTGGAAAGCTCAGTGGGCCTTGCTTGGTAAAATAAAAAAAAAGTTCAGTTTAGTTTTAATTTGCGATTCGAGTCCAGCAAACGACCCTGGTTAATACTGCGGGTGAATTCACCGTTAACCGTGGATATGCTCTGCATGCTTCGTAGTTGACATGAAGGATCCCCTTGACGTTATTCGTAAAGGAGTAGACACGTGAGTCATGTTCCACCTTTTCCTCATTTGAAATGTACTTACAAGTCACCTGGTTGTGTATGGTCATAACAAATAATGAAAACAATTCTGTGATACTAAGCTAACAGTCGTGGACAAATAACAAACAAGTGGGTACATCCACACAGCAGCGTCCCCCCAACTCTGAAACTACTGTAGAACCACTAAAATGTGTGCACTGTAAGAGTGGCGCAAATACCAAATATAGAATTGATTGTGATGATGGTGGTGTGGATGGTGGTGGTGGTAGTGGCTCATGAAGGACGCTGCTACTGGGCAGTTGGAGGCATTCACCCTCCAATAACAACAACTGAGGGCTGAGGAGCGACGCTCACAACAACGAGCAGAGCGCGGGCGGCTAAAATACAACGAGTTGGCACATGAGGGGGTACAGCTGGTGGTGCATCTACTGGTCATCTCAGTCAGCCAGCCCGTGGCACCTGGGTCTGTACCGTGACCTCCTGTAAGTGAGCCTTTGACACTTCACGTGGCCTCATAGTGCACCTGGCATTGCACAGGCGCAGTGTTAACTTCACTGTTACTGAGTGGTGAATGGCGCGGTATTGGTATTGGTGGTGGGCGTCTGAATGTCGTGCTTAGACGAAGTCGATGGGGCCTTTGGCTTGGCCAAGGTGGGCAGTTAGGGCCTTCAGTCTATGGCGAGAGTCGAGCGGCAATGCTGGTGGTACCGGCCAATCAGGGACCATGGGGAAAAACAAAAAAACGTGAGTGCATTCTAAACATGACATGATGGAGGTGCTACATTACTTATTTATATCACGGTTGTGTAAAATAAATGTTTTCGTTAATAATAACAATTGACCGATTGCAATTGGAGTTATATTTGGGAGTGCTATTGGAATGATACGGTGATATTGTATTTGGTGTCGCCTAATGTGTTTCTTTTTTTTTTACAAATCCTGGCCCACCGTTGAGCTACTTGGGGCATGAAGATTTTTCTCAGTTTTCTTATCTTCGGCGTCACCGCTGCAGAGACAAGCGTGAGACCGAGATTGACGGATGGACCATGCCTGCTTTGTCTTAAATATGTGGAAGGAAAACGTGCATTCTCACCCATGGAAAGAAAGAGAGAGAGGAGAGAGGCAATACAACAACAGTAATGGTCGGCACTGAGGTTTGCTGAACGTTTAAAGAATGTCAGCCGTTGCCGTGTGAATGACGGGGATTCAGTCAAAATGCAGGCGGAAATGCCCCCGAGTCATCATGCTCAGTGGCATCCTTTACATACACTTGTTGGGATAAAGGTTACGACCTCTGCGCCTGAGTGTTTGTTTGCCCGTTTCAAGTTGAAGACGGGACGCGTGTAAAGGCCTCGGATTCCTTCTCGAGACAATTCGCCGGACTAACTCCAGCCTGTTCTCAAATGGCACACCATAATAGGCGGCATTTTCTTCAATATTCCATGAATGCTTTATCCTTATGGGACTTGACATTTCGAGAGAGAAAAAAAAACAATGTTTGTCTTTCGGGGTAATTGCCACAGGTACTATGCTATTTCAAGCTTGCTCTATCAACAGCGAACGGCCGTGCGGCAGACAGAGAATGCATGTTTTTTTTTGTTGACGCCCAAAACACCCAGGCAAATTGGTATATGGGACCAGTCGACCATATCAATGCAAGGAAACGGTTTATTTTGTATCTCAAATGCATTTAACCTTGAGGTCTTTCCTCCCACGGAATTTCAAATCCCAAGAAGCCAGGGCACTTGCACGCCTGTTCAAAGATTGATGCTTTGACAAGGGAGCCATTTGTGTCAATTAAAACAGCCATCATTCATGCAATAATATATAATACACCATAGCATTAAACTTGGATGACCCGCCTAGATTAATACACACGTTTTTCTGCTTTACGCTACCAATTATTATATATGTGCGACAAGATTAAGTTTGAGTGTGGGGTTTTTTCCCCCCTTCATTTTACTGAAAGTAATCTGCTGACATTTGGTTCACCAGTTAATTAGAAACGAATCACTCTCGCAATTATGTGGGTGTTGACTTGGAAAGAGACCAACATTTTTTCCCGGACATTCCTTAAGAGAATTATCATTATGTTACGATGTGTTTTCGTTTTTATTTTGAGGAGCCAATGTTAAATTGGTGGGTTGAATACATTTAGAAGTAGATGTTATGCCACGCATGCCATTGTAGGGCAATTTGTAGTATCCAGCAGTCGTATTTTTATGCAAATGTGGCTTGCAGTAAACGCATATTTATTGGCGATATGAAGGGTACAAGCCCAGGGGTATTGCACAGATCTGTGCAATGTGATTATAATTTTTTTACAAAATAACCGTTGTCACCCCCCCCCTCCAACTTAATCGTGATTGTGCGTTATCAGTGTTACGTCGTCATGAGATGACGTCTCCATTCGGTTCTCTCAAAGCAGAGTAGGTCAACCCCTTTGTGCTAGAGAATGGCCCACGTGGTCCCGCCACAGAGAGAGAGAGCAGTCGCTTGCTTTT